AGACCCTTTGTCCCCTCCTGTGCCCATCCCCTTCAAGTTTCAGCCAAGAAGGTACAAAGGCCAGCCCCTTTATCGCAAGAAAGGATCAATTCCTTGGTGCTATTTATGCTTTTGAGTCCCCCTTATGGAGTGAGGTTGAGGCCAAACACAAAGTTGCAGCCATATCCTTCTCTCCTACCCTTCCCTGCTTCCTTCATTCCCTTTCTTCTGAAGCCAGATCTCAATAAATCATGTGCCTTGAATCCTGTCTCAGGCTCTGCTTCTAGGGAACCTGACCTAATACAGCTGCTCTCCCAAGTGGCAGAGTATTGACCAACCCAAATGACTGTAGAGAACCCTGTGAGTATAGTGATGATGATTAATGCCCAATGACAACAAGCAATGGCAACAACAGCCCCTCTCCCTACGTTCAGAAAGCATAGACGAGTAAAGGCCCACTGAGAAAGAAGTGGAGTGTGTTTTTCTACAATAGATGGCTCCTTCAATAGGCATCTGGCAGACAGCTGTGCTAGCAAGGGTATAAATAGCCTTGTTAGCAGAGAGCCACAGGCGGAGGTTCCATGGGTTTAACCAGTAAAGGAAGCACATTGACTGGAAGAACCTCTGAGCCATGACTAGAGAGTCGCCGGGTAGGTCTGTGCTCTGCCTGGGAGCCAGCTGTGTCCCAAGCGCCACACTCCCCTGGGCAGGGTCTGGAGCTCTCTGGAAGGAAGCACAGCACCTGCCCAGGGAACTGTCTGCTCTGATGAAAGGCTGCAGGAACTCGCAGCTTTGTTTTGCTCAGTCTCTGGCCTCTTCATGATGTCATTTTGTTCTTGGGGCTTTCTTTTTAAATCTTTTTGCAATTTTCCCCTTTCATTTCCCTCTTCCTTCTTTTCTACCGCCTGCTTTCCTCTCTGGGCCCAGTCTTCATCATTAGGGACTGTGAAATTGGGTCTGGCTCCATTTAAAAAAAAAATTTTTTTTTTTTGAGACAGTGTCTCTCTCTGTCACCCAGGCTAGAGTGGAGTGGCGCGACCTCAGCCCACTGCAACCTCCACCTCCCGGGTTCAAGCAATTCTCCTGCCTTAGCCTCCCAAATAGCTGGGATTACAGGTGTGCACCATCACACTTGGCTAATTTTTGCATTTAAAATAGACGTGGGGTTTCCCCATGTTGGCGAGGCTGGTCTTGAACTACTGACCTAAGGTGATCTGCCCGCCTCAGCCTCCCAAAGTGCTGGGATTACAAGCGTGAACTGCCACGCCTGGCCAAGGTCTGGCTCCATTTTGGAAGGATGAGGGTGGATTCTTACCTTCTTCCAATAAAGCATCTCCAAGATAATTCCTTATTGCTTCTGTCACCTCTTAGAGTTTAACTTAAATGCACTGTTATGTTGAAGACCTCCTTCCCACTAGCGGTGAGGATGGTAAGGGAGTTGGTGAGGGGGCAAAGAACCCTCTCCTGCAAGGCCACTGGGGGATACCTTGATCTAACTATTTTGAAACTATGAGACAAAGAGCACAGTAAATGTTTTTCAAGATACTCCCAAAGATTTAGGGATACACCTCAAATATCTCTGACCTCTTCAGCAAGCACTTAGTTGACTCACTATTTCTAGAATCAGAGTGGCTCCTGATTATTATTCTCAAGAGATCTGGAATCTTGTGTTTTGATTTAGAGGTGAAAAAGAAAACTTTGGATAACTCTTACCCATTTCCATAACTTTTCTCTCAGATGTGGTGGCTCAAGCCTGTAATCCCAGCACTTTGGGAAGCCGAGGCAGGTGGATCACTTGAGCTCAGGAGTTCAAGACCAGCCAGGAGTTCAAGACCGGCCTGGCCAACATGGCGAAACCCATCTCTACTAAAAATACAAAAATTAGCCAGGCGTGGTGGCAGGTGCTTGTAATCCCAGCTACTCAAGAGGCTGAGGGAGGAGAATCGCTTTAACCCAGGAGGCGGAGGTTACAGTGAGCTGAGATTGTGCCATTGTGACAACCTGGGCGACAAGAGCAAAACGCTGTCTCACAAATGATGGGTTCAGCAGTCAATTATAAGTGGTATTTTCTCAATTCAGCTGTGAGAAAAAGCTAGGTCAGTATAAGGGAGGATCAAATCAGTCCAGCTTCTGGTCATAGTGTCCAGAATGCCAGCTGGGGGTGTTGGAAAATCACAAGGAAGAGGCAGTCTTGCTATGAACCCAAGGGTTGTGCTAGGAGCAGCAGCTTGCACATAGCAGCACTCAGTTAATGTTTGTAGAATGGCTCCTCCAAGAGTCAGAAGGTCAAAAAGAAAGCTGAGAGAAGCAGGAAGAACCAAAAACGGAGGGCAGACTCTTGTGCTAAGCCAGAGTCCCACTCTTCCACCAAGCCATGTTCCCACCATTTGCTGGATTGTACATGGCTGATACTCTAGGACTTTCCCACACTATATGAAAGTTGTTTTGTTGCCTTCATTATAAACAGCAGGTAAAGTATTTGGCTTTCTAATAGTTCACAATGGAGGACAGGGCAGGGACCCAGTAGAAATGACAGGTGATGCTGGTCTTGGGGATAGTCTTCAGAAACAGGCAGTCTTCTTCTTGAGAGTTAATTTTATTTTATTTTTTGAGAAAAAATTTCACTCTGTCACCCAAGAGAGTGTAGTGGCACCATCTTGGCTCACTGCAGCCTCTGACTCCCAGGCTCCAGCAATCCTCCCACTTCAGTCTCCTAAGTAGCTGGGACTACAGGTGCATGCCATCAGGACCGGCTAATTTTTGTATTTTTTGCAGATACGGGGTCATGCCATGTTTCCCAGGCTGGTCTTTCACTCCTGGGCTCAAGCAATCCTCCTGCCTTATCGGCCCAAAATGCTGGGATTACAGGCATGCACTACCACGCCCAGCTAATTGTTTGAATTTTAGTAGAGATGGGGTTTCACCATGTTGGCCAGGAAGGTCTCTATCTCTTGACCTTGTGACCCACCCGCCTCGGCCTCCCAAAGTGCTGGGATTACAGGTGTGAGCCACCATGGTTGGTCAAGAAAGATTCCATAGTGGGGCTCTTTAAGCAACATTTTCTTGAGCATGAGTAGGCTTTGGGAAATGAATGCTGATTTACCCTTCCCCCGTCCTCCCTCCCGTCTCTCCTTGCACAGCCTTTGTAGCTGATAGACAGGAAGGCATTAGTGTGTATTCCAGGGAAGCATGTGGGTTCTCAGGCCAGGAGGTGGCATTCAGCGACCTGGCCAGAGCACAATGTAGAAATGAAAAGATAAAAACCTGAGATATGTGATGGGGGCTGCAGTTTGGAATAAACGGGTTCAGGCCCTCTGCCCAGTCAGCCGAATCCTCTGGCAGCTGCTGCATTTAATGGACAACTCCATTAACATCTCCCTTAAGGGGGGGCTGTTGGGGGTGCAGGAAGGAGTGTCTCTCTCTCTCTCTCTCTCTCTCTCTCTCTCTGTGTGTGTGTGTGTGTGTGTGTGTGTGTGTGTGTGTAGAAACTAAAAAGGCTTGGGGCTTTCCTCATGATCTCTTGGAGTCTATTCACAGTTATAAATCTGTTGTGTTGGCATTTTTGGTTTCCTGGGGAAGCTTTGTGGTTCCCTTTGTCTGTGTACCATACCCGGCTTTGGCAACTGAGGTGGAGCTGCAAAGGACAGCAATTTGGATAGGGTAGAAAGGGGGCTCAGACCACCTGCTTTCTCAGCCCCACAGGCTAGGGAAGATGAGAAGGCATATATCTTTTCCCCTTTGTTTATTTGTTTGTTTTTGAGACAGAGTCTCTGTCAGCCAGGGTGAAGTGCAGTGGCACAATCAAGGCTCACTACAGCATCAAACTCCTGGTCTCAAGTGATTCTCCCACCTCAGCCTCCTGAGCAGCTAGAACCACAGGCGCACACCACCATACGTGGTTAATTTTTTAAATTTTTGTAGAGACGGGATCTTCCTATGTTCCTGGCCTCAAGCAGTCCTCTCACCTCGGTCTCCCAGGGATATAGGAGTCAGCCCTTTCCCCCTCGTAACAAAGAAATTGTCAACTCTGGAATTCAAAAGATAAAAACATGAGGGATTCTGGGGTGCCCTCAGAGCACTTCTGGAATGATGCTGGTAGATGAGGAGAGGGGAGGGAGGGAATAGGTGGGGCCAGGATCCAGAAGCATGGGGTCATGAGGGACAAGATACTGGCCACTACAGGAGGAGATGAGGGACAGGTCTAAAGGGGGAACATGGGAAGCAGACAGACTCAGCTGCCTGACATGCCTAGGTTCAGGCCCTCTCCAGATGGAGAAAAGGAGGAGGTGCCTCTTCCCATGGCTAATGAATGAGACTGAAAACCTACCAGATGATTGTGGTGCCTGAGTCTTCCTGAGTCCCTCGAACACAGAGAACACAAAGGGTAGTAACAAGAAACCAGATTTCCACTGAGAGATTTTCAGTCCTAGATCTTCCCACTCCAGTCTTTTAGCTGCTGTCAGACCACATTAGGGCAGAATCTTGAATCCAACCATATCACAGCTGCTGGGGATTTCCCCAGAGGAAAGTAGTGTGACACGAGCAGGCAGAGCAGCTCTGATCCAAGACTTTGCTCCTGGCATCCCTGAATACCCTGACTAGCTTACCTCTTCTTAAAAGTTACTTCCAGAGGCAAAGCTAGTTACTTGGGGATGGTGCCTACCCGCAAACACAGAACTGTGTATGACTTGCCCAGAGACAAGTTCTTAGATAAAGGCTGTGATTTGCAGCCATGGTGGCCTGACCCTGAGTCCTGGGTTGGCAGGGAGGCCAGGGTGGAGGGTACAGTGGACACAACCCTGGCCTAGAGATGAAAAGTGTGGGGTTCAGGTCCTGATTCTACCCTGTGTAGCTGTGTGGTCTTGAGTTTTTGCTAAGTTCTGTAAGTTTTAGTTATTCATCTCTAAAATGGAAATAATAATACTTTCCTCAGAGTGTTGTTCTCAAAGTCATATAAAATCACTTTGCAAAATGCCGTACTAATGGAAAGAATGATTTCCTTTATTCATTCTGTCTTCCAGATCCAAAGGCTGCTCTTGGGAATGTGTGAAGGCTATTGGGTTCAAGGGAAGCATCTGGAAAGGGGAGTGTGAAGTAAGGGTAAGAAGAGAAGAAGGGAGGCTAAAAGATAGGGGAAGTGGTGTTCCCTGTAGTCATGAGGACATGACATGAGCTTCTCACTCACACAGTAAGAGTCAATGAGCACCTGGTGGAGGCCACTGGCTTGAAATATCCAAGGGCCTGATGCTGCTCTGATACAGGGAGGGCAAACAGGGGCAGCCAGAAAATGGGGCTGTGAGCACGGGAAGAGAGTGAGGGGCAGATTAGGGATGAGGTTGCTGGCTGTGACTCTTCAGGCCTCGATCTCAGATTCTGACTCTTCTTCTTCTTTTTTATTATTATTATTTTTTGAGATGGAGTCTTGCTCTGTTGCCCAGGGTGGAGTGCAGTGGCGTGATCTTGGCTCGCTGCAACCTCCGCCTCCCGAGTTCAAGCGATTCTCCTGTCTCAGCCTCCTGAGTAGCTGGGATTACAGGTACGCACTGCCACGCCCAGCTAATTTTTGTATTTTTGTTAGAGATGGGGTTTCACCATGTTGTTCAGGTTTTTTTCGAACTCCTGACCTTGTGATCCACCTGCCTTGGCCTCCCAAAGTGCTGGGATTACAGGCATGAGCCACTGTGCCCAGCCCTGGCTCCTCTTTTTATGCATCTTGTCTGCCTTTACTCCCACTGCCAAGCATGTGGCCCTGCATTCCACTCCTAATTCTCCAGAGAGAGAATTTGATACCCTCCCCTTACCAGGTTGCCCTGCTTCAGAGCTTGAACTCTCATTATAGAGCACATGGCTGCATAGGATGAAAACAGTAGCTCAGGTTTTTGAGGGATTCCCATGTACTAGGTACGGTGCTAGGTGCTTATCTCACTAATATAATCCTCTAAACAACCGTACTGCAGTAGCTTCTAATATTTTCCCCATTGTGTAGATAAGCAAACTGAGAGGCTAGATAACCATTGAGTGGGAGAGCTAGGATTTGCATCCAGGCTGACTGGCTTCAGAGCCAGAGCTTGTAAGCAGCTTCCGTGCTGCTTTCGAGGTAGGCCTGTGAGTGAAGCTGTGCATCTAAGCAAGTAAGTGCTCTGTTCGGAGCTGTGAATGGGCATAGTATGAAAAGGGTTCCATGGCCATTTCAGGTTGATAAGCACTGAGGGAAGGGGCACATGGCTCCTTTGACATGTTCCAGTAGACAAACTTTCTCCATTTGTTGACTTTGGAGTTTCTTTCCCAACATTATCTCAGCAGAGAACTCCTTTTTATTTTTTTGCAACATGCCTACTAATCTACAGTGGACAATAGGACTACTGGTTTGGGAAGTGCTCTCCTAGACTTATACTCCACCCCACACCACTCAGCACCAGAGGTAGTGGCAGCTAAGATTTCTGCAGAGCACCAAGTGTTTGGTGGCCAGTCAGCTCAGATGGCAACCACAGGCTGCTAATTAACCAGGGTCAGGCAGCAGCTGCTGTCCCCGGGCTGATGAAGAAGCCATCCAATAGAGTTGGGTGATTTATTTCTTGCTTTCATTTCCCTCTATCACTGCTCTTGTCTGGACCCTCTACGTCAAGTCGGCACTGTCACAACAGTTTCTTGACAAGTGTCCCTGCCAGCTGGTTCTTCCCTCCAGTCCACCCTACATACCTGGCCAGATCTGTCTTCCTAACATGAGGCTTGGAGCTTGCCACTCTCCTGTCCCGAATGTATTAATTCAGCTTTCAAGACTGTCTTGGTTCCCTGTTTTCCCTGCACACCCCTATGCTGTGGGTGAAGCTGAATCATTTTAGGCCCCTCTCTGCTCAGCACATCCAGCTTCCTCTGGCCAGTGCTGGAAGAGCTCCTTCCTACCTCAGGAAGGGAGGGAGTTTCTTTCCCAACATTATCTAAGCAGAGATAATTAAAAAAAATTTTTTTTTTATTTTTTCAACATGCCTACTAATCTACAATGGGCTACAGGACTACTGGTTTGGGAAATGCTCTCCTGTCACGGTCTTGTGTTCTCACTCAGTCACTTATCCATTCCATAAGCATTTATTTTGTGCCTATGTGCCAGATCCTGTGCTAGAATAATACACACTCCTTAACCTCCAGGAGCTAATGAAAACAGATACATGTACAATGGAGTGATGTGTATTAAGGTAGAGTGATACTCCGGGTTTTACAGGCAGGGACACTATGTCTGCCTGGGGCACAAAAGGCAAGTCAGGGTAGGATTTCTGGAGAAGGGGATGTTGAAGCTTAAAGGATGAAATGGTATTAGGCATTTGAAAGAATATGGTATGCCAGGAACTGGCCAAGGATGTGTTGGTTACCTGGATTTTTGCAGTAGGCTAAGCAGGCAGGTTCTCTCCAAGCTCCCTGTCCTCAGGGAGCATCTCAGGCTAATTCTGCTGACCTGCAGAAGCCAGGTGAGGGGACAACACTTGTTCTCATCAGGAGATGGGGTCTAGAAGCTGAAAGAAGGAAAGGAGGACAATGCCTGGCATGCTCCCTGCATCCTTATGGTTCAGTGACCGATTCCTCCTCCTCCCCAGCTCCGAAGTCTCCTCTAAGAGATACAGATTCAAGCAGTCTGGTTGCCAGGGGCAACCCCAGAAGGCAGCTTCATTCCAAAGGCAGACACTGAAGGCCCTACCCGAGGGCCTCATAGCCTGCCTCTGATAGACAAGGGGTAGGTGGCTCACCTCGGCCAGTCCCCTTTGGGAAGTGACTGGACAGGGTCTGAGTGGCACATGTGGAAGACAGCCCTTCCAGCCATTCAACAGGGCCCCGAGAAAAGAAAGGTGACCCACAAAACAGTAGATGGCATTTTAATACCAGGAATACTTAATAAGAGTAACATAACCTTGTTTTTCTGAGATGCAGTGTAATTTATTTCAGGCCTCGGGCTTAATAACTAACCGCTGACAACCTGCAGGTCTGGTGCATGTGTGTATAGGTCTGCAGTGTTAATGAGATTGTAGAAATGGTGGGTTTCTCTTGTTCGCAATTTTCCTGCTCTGTAGAGGCTGTCCACCAGTAAGCTACCCCTTTTCCTGAGCTAGGACTTGTGATCTGTGAATATGGACACTGCCTAGAAGGCAGAAGGTGCAGACTCCTCTTGAGAGAGCATGTCTGGTGCAAATGACATGCAATTGGGTTTAACGCTCCCTGCTTCTTTCTCTTGTTCCTGTTATTCTGCCTGCTTACATTGCCCTCTGCTCTCCCAACAACAAGAGAAGCTTGTGCTATGTGGAGTCAGAACACCTGGGTTTGTTTTTGTTCTGTGACATGGATGATGTATTTAATCATCTTGAGCCTCAGTGTTTTACCTGTGAAATGAAAGCAGTAACAACTCCAATCACAGGGTTATTGCAAATATCAAATGAGATCATTGATGAGAAAGCTTTTTGTAAACTAAGTAATGAGGAGGGGGAGGAAGAGGAGAAAGTTGTTGAGTGATTACTGTGCTAATTGCTATTCTCTTTATTTATATTATCTTTTCTTTTTCTTTCTTTTTTTTTTAGATGGAGTCTCTCACTCTGTCACCCAGGCTGGAGTGCAGTGGCATGATCTCAGCTCACTGCAGCCTCCATCTCCATGGTTCTGGAGATTCTCCTGCCTCAGCCTCCTGGGTAGCTTGGATTACAGATGTGAGTGATCACATCTGGCTAATTTTTGTATTTTTAGTAGAGATGGGGTTTCACCATGTTTGCCAGGCTCGTCTCAAACTCCTGATCTTGTGATCCGCCCGCCTTAGCTTCCGAAAATGGTAGGATTACAAGTGTGAGCCACTGTGCTTGGCCTAGAGAGCCTTTAAGAGCAGAATCTTCCTGCTTTCTAATTTCTTCCAATTTATGTCAAATCACTGCTCTCTGGCCCAGCATGTCCCAAACACATGAGCCTCCTTTCTCATCTCAGGGCCTGCCATGTCAGGTTTAGCTTAGGGCCTTTGCACTAGTTGTTCCCACAGCCTGGAAGCTGCTGCTCTGAGATTTTTGCCTGGCTGGCACCTTCTTATCATTCAAATTTTATCCTAACTCGCAAATCTTTTCTGACCTCCTAATTTAAAATAGCTTCCTGGGGGGCAAAAACATAGACTGTACACATGTACTTTCTTTTGTATGAATAAATTTCTCTGGAAGGATGCACAAGAAATTAATATTTTGTTGCTTATGGGGAAGGAAAGTGGATAGCTAGGAAACAGGGCAGGAAAAGAGACTTCTCTGCATATCTTTTTCTGTTTTTTTAAATGTAGATTAAATATATTATCTATTCAAAAATTAAAAAATATAAACATAAAGAGAAAGTAAAGTAGGCCCCTGCTGAGCTTCCTTCCTTCCTTCCTTTCCTTTCTCTCTCTTTCTTTCTTCTCTCTCTCTTTCTTTCTTTTTTAGAGACAGGGTCTCACTCTTTTGCCCAGGCTGGAGTAAAATCACAGTGGTGTGATCACAGTTCACTGTAACTTCATGATCCTCTGGCCTCAGCCTTCCAAGTAGCTAGGACCACAGGTGTGCACCCGCCAGATTTTCCTGGCTATTTAAAAAAATATTTATTTCATAAGAATAGGGGATCTTGCCATGTTACCCAGGATGGTCTCAAACTCCTGGCCTCAAGTAATCCTTCCAAAATGCTATGATTGCAGGAATGAACTACTGGGCAGGCCTCTTTATTTACTTCATAAATTTTATTTACAAAACAGGTGGTGGGCAGATTTGGCCCATGGCTATAGCTTGCTGATCTGATCCTTGCTCTATCATATCTTATTTGATATTCATCCTGGCACTGATTATTGGTTTCCTCATTTCTTAGCTGCCTTCTCCCCACCCCCACACACTAGAATGCAAGCCTTATGAAAGTAGGGTGCCTCTCTGTCTAGTTACCACCATATCCCTGCACCTGGAACCATTTCTGGCTCATAAAGACTCAATAAATACTCTTCGAATGAATATTTGAATGAATTATGTTTGTCTGGGCTGACGAGAAGAGCAGTCCTATCTGAAGGGAGATAAGATGAGATAAACTTCTGATGGCAGCTCCTCCAGGAAGAATCATTTCTAGTTTGGTCATCCTCAAGAAAGTCCAACCTGTAGTTCTTGTTTCGAGGAAGTGCTGCTCATGTCTACTTCCTGACAGCAGATATGAAACTGAGTAGTACCTGTCCTCCTCGGACACGCTCCAGAAGAGAGGGAAACCAATGGATTAATCACTTTTTAATTTAAGAAGAAAATCACCTTACACACACACACACACACACACACACACACACACACACACACCAGGAGAGACCTCAGAGTCCAGAGAAGTCGCTCTGCTCAGTTGGCAAGTTGGGCTTTGCAGATTAACAGTCGCGCCCTGCCTGAGAGTATGGAGGAACCGTGACTCTGACTACCAGCATGACATGAGGAACAGCCAGGACCTGGGGAGGAGGAGGAGGAGGTAGGAGAAGGGAGTTTGGCACATTCCAATTTAGGCACATTCCTTGAACAAACAGCCTGAATCACCATGTGCTTATTAATTTAAAAACTCTCTGAATCAACACATTCTTTGCCTGTCCAGGGCTGGGCTTTTTGCAGCCATGCAGCTCACTGGCCAAGAAAGTGTGGGGTCCTGCAGAGAAACGGCTCTAGAGGAATCACCCGAGCCACTAGGCACTGCCTTGCAACACTTGGAAGACTAGCAGAGGGTCTTCAGGCTGAGCTACTTTTGTTCCCTTGGAAAAAAGTCATAGGCAGATGCCTCTTCTACCTCCCCCAACACCTTCTTCAACACCAGACTCCCTCTTCAGCTCACTCAGAGGAAGCTGGGAAGGTTCCAGTGGCGCACTACTGAGAAGCAGTGGGAAGGGCCAAGGTTACAAGTTCTCCAGGCATGGGGGCGAGCCCTGGCTCCTTCACTTGCTAGTCGTGTATTCTCTCTGTCTCTCTAGCTTTCTCTCTCTTTTGAGAGATGAGGTCTCACTATATTACCCAGGCTGAAGACTGGACTCCAACTCCTGACCTGGGTTCAAGTGATCCTCCTGCCTCAGTCTCTCAAGTAGCTGGGACTCCAGGCACATGCCACTACGCCTGGCTGTAATCTTGATCAAATCATGCAAAATCCCTGAACCACAGTTGTTGTTTTTTTTTTAACTTTCTCTCCAGTAACACCCAGAGGAGCTATATAAATTTAAATAAAATAATGTGCCTAAAGCACAAGGGCTAGAGAAGCAGCCGGAGAGAGGTCTTGGGGAGGGAGGAGGGCAGGGTGTTGGCCCTCCAGTGGAGCAAGGAAAATGATGGGGCCCATCTTTGACTGGGTGCTTGCAGCTGAGCCCACAGAATCTCACATTTTATTCCCACACAATAGGGAATGACCTTGACCTTCCTGACCCAGGATCTAGCTTGGCAACGTCGTTGGGTCCTCTGGTATTCAGGCCACTTGGCTCTCACTGGCTGGTTCTCCTGGAGCTTTGAGAGCCCTCTGATAGGCCTTCTTTCAGAGTAGTGGTGCTTTCTCCTTCCCTCTTGTAGTGGTGTCTCTCCCTCAGACAAGTCCAGGGACTGCTGGCCATCAGCTGAACCCGAGGGAAGCGAGGCCACAGCCTATGAGATGTACCCCACACTTCCTCTGCCCCGCCCCCAAACCAGGATTGTGTCTGTGTTTTTCAGGGTGTGCTGCTGGAGCCCTGGGAGGAGGGGGTTGGGCAGCCGCTGCTGCTGCCGCTGGTGGTCCCTGTGCTTGAAGTGCCGGGTGGTATCGGAGTCCATGCGCCCAAGGCTTGCTACTCTCTCCTACTGCGAAGATGCCCAGCACCTAGCAACATTTTCTGGCCCAGCAGAGGGGTGAGAGATCAAAGGAGGGGGTCTGGGGCATGCATTGCTTCTGGGCAGACCCATGCCAGTGTGACATGGGGTTTCCTGCCTGAGTGTTACTGATTGCGTGGCTGCGCCCACCACGCTCGTCTGGGTGTGTGTGTGTGTGTGTGTGTGTGTGTGTGTCTATATGGGCGGGCAGTTGTGTGGGGGTGCACAGACGCTCTGGGTGTGTAGGAGGGTCAGCACTAGGGGGGGCTTCTAGGATTTGTCTGTGGCCTCACCTCCACCCTCCCTGCTCCTGGAGGGGGAGCTGTAACTCAGCCCGGAGGCCACCTAGCTGATTCCCTTCCCCCATCCACCAGCCGCTTGCTCTGTCACAACAAGAAGCTTTGGCAGAAAGGGAGGGGAGCGTGGGTGCTGCAGAGAGAAAAACACCCCAAAGTTTCAGAAAAAATGGCAGAAGAGATGCCAGCACCCAGGAGCAGGAGCCTTCTGCTTCTCACAGCCTGCACTGCAGGGCTGGGGGAAGACCACTGTTTCCTTTCCTTCCTTCCTTTCTTCCCTCCCCGCCCTTACTGAGGGATATTCAGGAAAAGGAAACCTTACAGTGAGGGGAGAAGGGGAACAAAGAGATTCTTTTCAGAGGGGTCATGGGATCTTTCTATAGCCACCAGAAGACACAGTTCTGGGCTCTGCTTGCTCTGGGCAAAGTGTGTGTGTGTGTGTGTGTGTGTGTGTGCACGTGCGTGCGTGTGTGTGTGTGTGTGTGTAGGAGAGAACAAAAGAGAGAGAGAAGGTGTGTGTTAGTGTGTTAGTTCATGCATGCCTGTGAGTAAATGTGTGTTAATATTTGTGTCTGAGTGTGGATGTGAATTGTGTGTGTGTGTGTGTGTGGTGGGAAGCAGTAAAGATAAAAGCAGACAGAACAAAAAGAATCATATACAAGGTTGGTTAGATAGTTGCCCTTGGATAGTCCACACATGAATACTTGAAAATTGACTGTGCAATAGGTTGGCCATTACTCAATATTTCGCAGCATTAGAAAAAACATGTATACAGTGAAATACCTCAAAATTGACCATTTTTCCTCATGCTTTGAACTTAGGGTATTTCATTTGGGCAATGGCTCCTTTTCTGCAGGGTAAAAACCTCCTTACTCAAAGCTCAGAATACAGTTTTGTTGATCATTTCACCTAAGTAAGGGCTAGAGTTTCTCTTAGCATTATTTGCTTGCAAAATATTTGAGTTTGTATACAAGATCCCAAGGGGAATATTTATCCCACTCAAGAAAACAAGTTGCTTTTACCTCTTTGAAGTATCTATTTGCATTCCAACAATATGGTACTTATAAATCACTCCTTTCTAGCAATTTATTAAAGCAACTCTTAGAGGCAATACTTTAAAAAAATAGCAAGTCTGTATTTAAAAAAAAATTTTTTTAAGCCTACAATGAGTTTCAATAGCTTATCTTTCTATAGCCACCAGAAGACACAGTTAGTGATGTCTCTTCACTTGTGATTATAATAACTTCTTGCATTTACTGAGTCCTCTTCATGCACCAGACACTACATTAAATGCTTTACATACATGCTCTCATTGGGTCCTCCCAGCCAAGGAGGTACCATTATTTTATAACTAAGGGGTAGAGAAGTAACTTAACCAGGGTCAGGAAGGTAAGAAGTTTCAGGGCAGAACTTAAGTTCGAGTTTTGGTCCAAAGTCCCATGCCTTACCCTCTACACTCAGTTGCTTTTTTATTTATTTATTTATTTATTTATTTTTTTTGAGTCAGAGTCTCACTCTGTCATCCAGGCTGGAGTGCAGTGGCACGATCTCAGCTCACTGCAACCTCCACCTCCTTCCTGGGTTCAAGCAATTCTGGAGCCTCAACCTCCTGTGTAGTTGAGATGACAGGCATGTGCCACCATGCCCAACTTTTTTTTAATTTTTTTTATTTTTAGTAGAGTCCAGGTTTCACCATGTTGACTAGGCTGTCTTGAACTCCTCACCTCAAGTGATCCACATGCCTCAGCCTCCCAAAATGCTGGGATTACAGGCATGTGCCACCATGCCCAGCCCATTTCTTTATATTTCACTGCCCAAAGATGTCAAAACATGCAGCATGCAGGTGTCTACAGAGGGCTGTCACCACAAAAACCTTGGCTCCTGGTTCAGATCTACCGTTAGGGCTAGTGCCTGGGAATTATGGGTCGGTCCAGCTCTGAGATTTTAATTCCTGTTGCTGGAACAAGGGGAATAAATCCAGCTCTGTTAGGCACTCAGTCTCTTGGGATTTTTCAGTTCTCTCTGGGACAGTAGATTTTTTTCGTAGGGTCATCTCTGATAGAAGTATACCGGGAATATTGGCATGAGGAAATCAATCAATGCAAAGCATATCATGAGGTATGTATTCAGCACCATGAGGATCAACTCAGTGAGAATAAGCTCAGAAGATTGTAGGAAGAGTGTAGGACTTGGAGGAAGAGCAATGATCCTGCACTCGATCTGGAAGGGGTGGGGCAGAGGGGGCAAGGAGAAAAGGAAGGTGATGGGAAGAGGTCGCAGAGGGGCATGTGGTGTATGTGCAACTGGAGGAAGCAACTGGATGACTAATGGAGAGCAGCTTTATTACTTTGACTTTTTGAAATAAGAACCAGCTTATGAAGGTGGGGAGGGAACAGCCTGGGAATAAATTAATTGAGAAAGGAAATTAAAGCCATGATTTCTGCTCTGCTGACGAGCAGATGTCAGCTTGCCTCTAGCCTCTTGCTATATTCAGTGCTTTTCTAGAGATAAATGGTAGAGCTCAAAGAGGTTCCAACAGGGCCTGTACTGAATACTTGAAGGCTCTGGGATATTTTGGTCATGAGAAAAGAGGGCTGGAAGTTGAGGACCAGGCTTCTAGGCTCAGTGGATTTTTTTTTTTTTTTTACATGAGCTATTTCACAATTACCAGTAGATTTAACTGCAAAACTGAAGGGAGATCAGGTAAGCATTTATAAAAGAGGAAATTAAAATGCTGGTATCCAGCACTGCAACCTCTACCTCCTGGGTTCAAGTGATTCTCCTGCCTCAGCTTCCTGAGTATCTGGGACTATGGGCATGTTCCACCACGCCCAGCTAATTTTTCTGTATTTTTAGTAGAGATGGGGTTTCACTGTGTTAGCCAGGATGGTATCAATCTCCTGACCTCAGGGGATCCACCTGCCTTGGCCTCCCAAAGTGCTGGGATTATAGGCATGAGCCACAGTGCCTGGCCTCAGACCACTTTTTATACCCTATGCAAGAAGGAACTGTCAACCTAAATAACGATCAGAGAGACTCTCTAAAAGAAAATACCTTTATTTTGGAATAGAGCACTGCAATGGAAATGTGCATGCCATAGTAAACTATGTGAGTATTCAGGGGGGTAAAGGAAGACAAAGTCTTTTTCTGAGACACAGTCTGGCTCTCTTGCCTAGGCTGGAGTGCAGTGGTGCCATCTCATCTTACTTCAGCCTCCACCTCCCAGGCTCAAGAAATCCTCCCACCTCAGCCTCCAGAGTAGCTGGGACTGTAGGCATGTACCATCATGGCTGGCTAATTTTTTCTTTTTTTTTTTGAGACACAGTCTTCCTCTGTTGCTCAGGCTGTAGTGCAATGGCATGACCTCGGCTCACTGCAACCTCTGCCTCCTGGGTTCAAGTGATTCTCCTGCCTCAGCCTCCTGAGTAGCTGGGACTACAGGTGCAAGCCCCCACGCCCAGCTAATTTTTGTATTTTTAGTAAAGATGGGGTTTCACCATATTGGTCAGGCTGGTCTTCAACTCCCGACCTCATGATCCTCATGCCTCAGCCTCTCAAAGTGCAGAGATTACTGGCGTGAACCACTATGTCTGGCTGCCTCGCTCATTTTTATATTTTATGTAGAGATGGGGTTTTGTCATATTGCCCAGGCTGGTTTCAAACTCCTGGATTCAAGCAATCCACATGCCTCCATCTCCCCAAGTGCTGGGATTACAGGTGTGAGCCACTGTGCCCAACCTGACAAAGGCTTTTAAAGGAAAAATTAAGAAGATTCCATAAATATTTAAAATAATTATCCTTGGCTTTAAAGATCAATACCAAGGGTGATGCCAGACTGAGCTTGGATAGGCAGTTGCTGGGCAGATGTCCTGGCAGAAGTATTTTTTTATGTAATGTCGTGAAGGCCCTTTGTGCAAGGTTGTGGGCTTTACAGTCTTTTGTAATTTTTTTTTTTTTTAAATCAGGCATACCAGCTTGAAAACCCTCTCTTCATGGTCTGCCCTGAGTTTTCTTAACAATAGTGACTTTATTTTAATATTGACAACTTTCACAGAACTTAATTGTAGTCCCTTAATCCATAGTTGCCTCTGATTCTGAACTGCCCAGAAAGAAGGGACGTTAGCTGGTTTATTCCTTGGGTTTTTTCCTTTCAGTTATTTATTCACAACTGGTGTCAGACACTGGAGATGTGAGAAAAGAAAAAATCGTGGTACCTGCCCTTCAAGAACCACAGTCTTGTAGGTGAAACAGGGATAGAAACCACAAATACAGGGCCCTGTGAGGTAGCCCATGTCTGTAATCCCAGCACTTTGTGAGGCTGAGGTGGGTGGATCACCTGAGGTCCGGAGTTCAAGATCAGCCTGGCCAACATGGTGAAACCCCGTCTCTACTAAAAATACAAAAATTAGCCGGGTGCGCTGGTGCGTGCCAGTAATCCCAGCTACTTGGGAGGTTGAGGCTGGAAAATTGCTTAAATCCAGAAAGCAGAAGTTGCAGTGAGCCAAGATCGTACCATTGCACTCCAGCCTGAGCAACAAGAGCGAAACTCTGTCCCCTGCCAACCAAAAAAACAGAGGTCACAGAGTAGAATTTGGTGGAAGCAATTGTTACAGAGTCCCAAGTACAATGGGGCTTAAGAGCTGTCTCCTATCCTGGTCCTCCAATGAGGACTTCCTTCCTCCCTTCTTCTCTTCCTGTCTTCCGCAAAGATGTAGTAAGCACTGTGAGCCAGGCTCTGAGTTAGGTCCTGCAAATACGCAAATGAACAAATACCACTCCCTGCCTAAAGGAGATAACGGGCTAATTATGTTCTTCCCAGACTCCATGCTAGGGCATTCACTGGTCCATTTTACTATCATGATGAAATGAGAAAAAGCAAGAGGCAATGTAGTGAGTCTTTAAATAAAATTAAATGTATTCAATATAAGATCTTTTCTCTTTAGTTTGAGGTCGTATTCCTACGTACATGCTTTCCTCAAAACATGTTGATAGTAGATGGTAGTCACCATTGACTTGTTTATTTCCTTGCTTGCCAAAGTGAAAATTAAGCAATCTTTTGTCACATCACAAAAAGTGTGTGTGTGTGTGTTGGATGGTGTTACTGGTTAAAGAGTCATTTCCTCTGGCCAGTTGCGGTGGCTCATGCCTGTAATCCCAGCACTTTGGGAGGCCGAGGTGGGTGGATCACTTGAGGTCAAGCGTTCCAGACCAGCCTGGTCAACATAGTGAAACCCTGTCTCTACTAAAAATACAAAAAATTAGCCAGGTGTGGTGGCAGGCAGCTGTAATCCCAGCTATTCTGGAGGCTGAGGCAGGAGAACTGCTTGAACTCAGGAGACAGAGGTTGCAGTGCTGAGATCATGCCACTGCACGTCCAGCCCAGGCGACAGTGTGAGACTCCGTCTCAAAAAAAAAAAAGATTCATTTTCTCATTCCAAAAGTGGGACTAAGGCAGGGCATGGTGCCTCATGCTTATAATCCCAACACATTGGGAGGCCAAGGTGGGTAGATCACCTGAGGTCAGGAGTTCGAGACCAGCCTGGCCAATATGGTAAAACCCTTTCTCTACTAAAACTACAAAAAAATTAGCCGAGGTGGTGGCACATGCCTGTGGTCCCAGCTACTTGGGAGGTGGAGGCAGGAGAATCACTTGAGCCCAGGAGGCAGAGTTTGCAGTGAGCTGAAATGATGCCACTGCACAATAGCCTAGGAAACAGAGTGAGACTCTGTCTCAAAAACAAAACAAAACAAAAAACACCACCAATAACAACAAAAAAAACAAAATGAGACTAGAGTGACCTTTTATCATCTAATAAAGTGGACCTGGCTAGGCATGGTGGCTCATGCCCGTAATCCCAGCACTTTGGGAGGCCAAGGCAGGCAGATGACCTGAGGTTAAGAGTTCGAGACCAGCCTGACCAACATGGAGAAACCCTGTCTCTACTAAAAATTTAAAAATAATAATAATAATTAGCTGGGCATGGTGGTGCATGCCTGTAATCCCAGCTACTCGGGAGGCTAAGGCAGGAGAATCGCTTGAACCTGGGAGGCAGAGATTGTGGTGAGCTAAGATCGCACCATTGCACTCCAGCCTGAGCAACAAGAGCGAAACTCAGTCTCAAAAATAAATAAATAAAATAAAGTGGACCTTAATTAAGGAACATGGATTTATCAGACATGACAAATGCAGGCTCTCATGCCACTCCCTACCCTCCCTAGATCTAGAAGGGAGGAAATGGGAGAGCCCCAGGCTTCAAGAGAGGCAGGATTAGCTCTTTTCTTGTTACCCCTGTACAGGGCACCAAGAACAGCAGCCTTTCAAGACCCTGTAGGAGGCAATGTGGGAAGTCCTGCACAGGCACAAGCGCAAGCGCCAGTAGCTTTTGGAAACAGTGGAGCTACAGATCAGCTGAAAGAACTGTGACCCTGAGAAGGATGAACGCTTCTTGGGCACTGCCATCTGAAGTTTACTCCCTGGCCCATGTTCTCCACATGTGTCCTGGGGGACCAGCAGCACTGGGATGAGGTCAAGGCTATGGGTGTCTCCCACATGGACATCAAGGTGCTGAAGAAATTTGGCAAGAGCAAGACACTCGACAAGTATGATGCCTTTTTGGCCTTAGGGTCTCTGATCAGGCAGATCCCACAAATCCTGAGCCCAGGCCTAAATAAGGAAGGGAGGTTCTCTTCCCTGGTGACGCACAGTGAAGACATGGTGGCCAAAGTTGATAAGAAGTCCAAAATCAAGTTCCAGATGAAGAAGGGGCTCTGTCTGGCCATGACTCTTGGCCATGTCAAGATGACAGATGATGAGCCTGTGTACAATGTCCATCTGGCTGTCAACTTCCTGGTATCATTGCTCAGGAAGAATTAGAAGAACATCTGGGCTTTATACATCAAGAACACCATAGGCAAGCCCTAGTGCCTATATTAGGGCATATTCTAATACATCTTAGTGCCACAAAGAGAAAGAGGAAGAGAGAGACAGATGAACAAAGGGAGAGAGACTTGGAATTCAGCAATCTCCTTTCTAGACAAGGGCTCCTCCTCCTGACATCACAGAGATGTCTGATGTTCTAGGAGTCTACGGGCCCAAGAGACCTGGGTTCATCCATCTGGTTGGAGAAGGACAGCAATTCTACAGAGGGACCTACCAGGAAAAGCTGGTGAGACACCAACAGGCTGCCCCAGAGAGGAGCCTCTGGCTCTTTTACAGGATAACTGAATGTGGTCACCAGCTTTTATCAAAATTAGCCAGGTTCTCAGAGTTTCCATGGCCCAGGCACAAATAATCCACAAACCAATCCCTTCAAATTATACCCCTGAAATAGTCACACACATGCTCTCAACATAGCATTAGCACCTAAACTCAAACTACGACACACCCACAAGTCTGCATAACCCTGCTTTTACTTAAAGCTTGTGGGTTTAAACTAATGTAGGAGTCAGTCTGGGGACCAAAGGGTGAAAGTCTTATGATGAGGTGGCGATTTGCTTAGGGAGGAGGATGCCATGCATGCATGACATCCAGAGGTTGGGAACCAATGGTCTCACAGGAGAGTTAAATGTATAAGCAGGCTGGGCGCAGTGGCTCATGCCTGTAATCCCAGCACTTTGGGAGGCCTGAAGTCAGGAATTCAAATCCAGCCTGGCCAACATGGTAAAACCTCGTCTCTGCTAAAAATACAAAATTAGTCGGATGTGGTGGCACATGCCTATAGTCCCAGCTACTCAAGAGGCTGAGACAGGAGAATTATTTGAACCTGGGAGGCAGAGGCTGCAGTGAGCTGAGATCGCAACACTGCGCTCCAGCCTAGGCAAGACAGAGCGAGACTCCATAACAACAACAACAAAAAGTATAAGCAATTATTTCAATACAGTGTAATAAATGCAGATACAAAGACAGAAAGGACCGTAGTGTAGGGATAGGGTGATGAGTTTAGCATGGGTAGAGGTGAGGGGCATCTGATGGAAGTGCCTGAAAGGGGGACTAGAAAAGGAGGTTGGAGGCTGATTGTGAAGGGCTAGACTAGGAGTAGGTTCTCAGGAAGCAGAGCTGAGTGGAGAGCTGCTGACCAGTGACCTAGGGAAGCTGGGAGAGTCTTTCCCAAGGAGCTGACCCTTGGGATGCATCTCTTTCCTCACCTTCTGCCTTAAGGCTCTCTTCTCCTTTTTCTTTCCCCCTGCCCCACATTCCCTAAGCATGCTAGGCCCAGAACATCCTCACAGGCTGCTGCTCTAATTACTTCATCCCATTTTAATTCTGCTGAGTTAGGAGCCTGTGAACTCAAGAGGAAATTCATGCAAAATACCCAACAAATTGAATGTGCTGGCATTTTAGAACAGGTCTGACCCTATCTGCCCCTTCATCCTCCCTTCCTGTGGCCCTGCCCCTGACCAATCTCAGCTGGAGAAATCAAAGGTAGAATGTGCTGGTGGGAAGAGAGGGTGGCATTGATGAAGTAAGATGCTGAGTTTCGCTGAATGGTTTGAGCCATTTCTTGGAATGAGGACAGGGTGGGAGCTTTCTGATGGGAGCCTTCTGTGGGAGCCTTTTAGAACTGATGGAGTCCATCTCTAGAGACCTGAAATACTATGTGTGTTTGTGAGTTGTAATGTTTCCTTGTCCCTCAAGATACTTACAAGTTAGGAGAGATTTCTTATTCCTGCTGTTTGTCCATGGAGATGCTAAATCACTGAGAACAAATGGATGGGGGTTTTGTTTTTGTTTTTGTTTTTTTGAGATGGAATCTCTCTGTTGCCCAGGCTGGAGTGCAGTGACATGATCTCAGCTCACTGCAACCTCCACCTCCCAGTTTCAAGTGATTCTCTAGCCTCAGCTCAGTCTCAGGATTCCATTATACTCTGAAAAATTACTGAAGTCTTTAAGAGTTTTTGTTTATGTGGTTATCGCTATTGGTATTTACTGTATTCAAAATGAAAACTAGGATCCGTTTATAGATCATAAGTGGGATGATTGGGTCTTCATGCCCGTGTGTGAGATGTGCTTCCCTCAAACCTTGTTATGATGGTGGCACATTGCCCATCTGATGTGAAAAAGAAAGAAAGAAAGCCTGAGATGTTGAAAGAATATTTATTAATCCATTTAAATTTAAAATACCAAAAATAAACATTATGTGTTAACATAACTAACACATTTTGGTGAAAAATGTACTATATTTTCCCCCAAAAATAGTGATGAAATTGGCATGTTTTACATTTTTACAAATCTCTAATGACTGGCTTAATAGAAAATACCTGGATTCTCACCGGGTGCAGTGGCTAATGCCTGTAATCCCAGCCCTTTGGGAGGCCAAGGCAGATGGATCATCTGAGTTCAGGAGTTCAAAACCATCCTGGCTAACATGGTGAAACCCCATTTCTACTAAAAATACAAAAAAATTAGCCGGGCGTGGTGGTGCACGCCTGTAGCGCCTATAATACCAGCTACTCGGGAGGCTGAGGCAGGAGAATTGCTTGAACCTGGGAGTTGGAAGTCTCAGTAAGCCAAGATCACACCATTGCACTCCAGCCTGGGCAACAAGAGCAAAACTCCGTCTCAGAAAGAAAAAAAAAACAAAAAAACCCCAAACTGGATTCTTTAATTCTTTATCTTATTCTCTTATTGCAATTAATTTTTTTTTTTTTTGAGATAGCATCTGTCACCCAGGCTGGAATGCAGTGGCATGATCTCAGCTCACTGCAACCTCTGCCTCCCAGGTTCAAGTCATTCTCCTGCCTCAGCCTCCAGAGTAGCTGGGATTATAGGTATGTACCACCACACCTGGCTAATTTTTGTATTTTTAGTAGAAACAGGGTTTCACCATGTTGGCCAGGCTGATCTGGAACTCCTGACCTCAAGTGATCCACCTACCTCAGCCTCCCAATGTACTAGGATTACTGTGAGCCACCATGCCCGGCCTAATCAGTTTCAATATGTTGTTTTTGTTGTACTCCTGGATTCAAGTGATCTGCCCGCCTTGGCCTCCCAAATTGCTGCAATTACAGGTGTGAGCCACTGTGCTTGGCCAATGCTGTTATTTCCTAAATATCTCTTTAATCCATGACATGGAGAAAATCTAGCCTCACCAAGTTGGAAAAGTGAGAAATATTTTAGTCTTCAGATAATTGTGGATATTTTTCTTGGACACTACACCAGAATTTGACACAAATAGTTTTTTCTTTCTTTTCTTTTTTACTCACCACTATACTAAAGAGGAAACATAGCTTCTTAAAGGTATATGGAATCTGAAATCATATCAATCAACTCCTATTCTATTACATTAAAATCCATTGGTTAATCTCAAACTTTGAAGAGATTTTGTAACATTGTTCGTTGGTCATTTGGAAAATATAGGTCCACTGAATTATATATAGCTTCTAAATGTTGATGCATTTCATTATGCAATTACTTTAAAGTTACATTCATTACATCACTATCAATCTCATCAAAGAAGTCTTTAACTATTGAGAAGTTTTCAAGTTCATGGTGACATATACAAGTATTCCAAAATTCTAATTTTTCACTTGAAAGCTTGAATTTTATTATTGGCAACAAATACTGTCAGTTGTTTTCCTTGAAGTAATAGTCTCACTTTGTTCATTTTTGGAAAACTATCTGCCAGACACTCAAATCTGAAAAATCATAGTTTGTCTCTTTGTTATTCTTTCAAGTAAAAATAATTCTCCTTGCCAAGTGCCATGGCTCACACCTGTAATCTCAACACTTTGGGAGGCTGAGGCAGGAGGATCGCTGAGCCCAGGAGTTAGAGATCAGCCTGGCAACAGCATGAGAGCCTGTCTGTACAAAAAAATAAACAAAATTAGCCAAGTGTAGTGGTGCGTGCCTGTAGTCTCAACTACTCTGGAGGCTGAAACTCCATCTCAAAAAAAAAAAAAAATCTGATAGGCAGGAGCAGTGGCTCGAGTCTGTAATACCAGCACTTTGAGAGGCTGAGGTAGGAGGATCACTTGAGAATGGGAGGTCAAGGGTGTAGTCAGCCAAGATCGTGCCACTGCACTCCAGCCTGAGTGACAGAGTAAGTCTCTATCTCAAAAAAGCAAACAAACAACAAAAAACCCTCAAAAAGCAAAACAAAACAAAAACAAAAAAAAAAACCCAGGCTAGGCGTCTTGGCTCACGCCTGTAATCCAAGCACTTTGGAGGCCAAGGCGGGCGGATCACCTGAGGTCGGGAGTTCAAGACCAGCCTGACCAACATGGTGAAAGCTCGTCTTTTAAAAAAACAAACAAACAAACAAAAAACCAAAAACCCAGAACAAAACAAAATGATATTCCATGAAAAAAGAGGCTAGCTCTGCTTGAAACAAAGACAATAGCAAAAATGCTTTTCCTGGGGACTATCTCTGTACTTGGGATACAGCAGAAATGCTTTATGTGTACTTTCTATTTTATCCAAATTTTTTTTTAGAGTTCCCCACTTGTCACCCAGGCTGGAGTGCAATGGTACACTCTCAGCTCACTGCAATCTCCACCTCCTGGGTTCAAGCAATTCTCCAGCCTTGCCTCCTGAGTAGCTGGGATTACAGTTACATGCCACCATGCCTGGCTAATTTTGTTTGTTTATTTATTTACTTATTTATTGAGACAGTCTTGCTCTGTTGCCCAGGCTGGAGTGTAGTGGTGCGATCTAGGCTCACTGCAACCTCCACCTCCCGGGTTCAAGCAGTTCTCTGCCTCAGCCTCCTGAGTAGCTGGGATTATAGGCGCCCGCCACCATACCTGGCTAATTTTTGTATTTTTACAACATGGGGTTTCACCATGTTGGCTATGCTGGTCCCGAACTCCTGACATCAAGTGAGCCACCCACCTCAGCCTCCCAAAGTGCTGGGATTACAGACTTGAGCTACTGCTCCCAACTGTCAGATTTTTTTTTTTTTTTTTTGAGATGGAGTTTTGCTCTTACTGCCCAGGCTGGAGTGCAATGGCATGATCTTGGCTCACCACAACATCTACCTCCTGGGTCCAAGCAATTCTCCTGCCTCAGCCTCCCAAGTAGTTGTGATAACAGGCATGAGACACCATGGCTGGCTAATTTTGTATTTTCAGTAGAGATGAGGTTTCTCCATGTTGGTCAGGCTGGTCTCAAACTTCCGACCTCGGTTGATCCACTTGCCTCAGCCTCCTAAAGTGCTGGGATTACAGG